TGATTCCATAGCATCTGCCCAGGGGGCATATTTTCATAGTTTTTCCTAAATATTATAAATATATTTATTTATTGAGGGAGGGAGAGAGGGAGAGATAGACAGAGGTAGGTACCCCCAACAGTCTTCATGCTGTGATCCACTGCTAGCCTCAGCCAGCCCAGATCTCAGGCATGTATGTGCCCTGTGTATTCAGGGAGCCCATAGCACGTACACCTAGGACTTTCCGTGTGGCTTCAGCACCAGAGTGCTGTGTTACTGCTATGCCATTAGGGCTAACGCAGGTTTTAGTTTCTGTATTCCAAGAATGAGCTCATGGCTAAATGGGTCTCTTAACTTGTCCTGCACCCTGAGCAAGGAGGGTGAAAAATGAAATGGTTCCCAACTCAGTCAGATCAGTTCCCATTTTAACTCATAGCTCAGTACACCACCTTAAGATTTCATCCCTGCAAGTGCATGTGCCTTATAGCAAAAACCTCTCTCTCTCTCTCAAAAAAAAGATTTCATCCTTGTACTAAGTATTCAAATAGTTTTTATTACACACTACATGCTGGTAACTACTGGGTTTGTTTCTAGCTTCCCGTATGGTCCATTTATCCATTTCCCTGTCCGTCCTAGGACAGCACTGCAAGTGGAGGACAGAACAATGGTCTTCCCACCTTCTCAAAGGCAACTTTTTCATCCTGTCCAAGGATAGGTCACAGCCTGGGGGATGGGAGTGGTGCCATGGCTCAGTCTTCATCTGCATCACCAGGGCCCACGTACTGGCAGATGGCATCATAGTGAAGCTCCACCAACTGATTCTCTCTCTGCAGTTGCACCAAAGCCTGGCTCCGTGCTCTGTCGCGGCGCAGCAGATGTCCCACCTGGAGTATGGATGGTGTCAGCAAGGCCAGCCCAGACATTGGTAATCCCCTGAATGACCCCCAATCCCCTACTTCCAGGCACAGCACTCACCCTTCCAGCCTGTGGGCCCAGTACCACCATCACACGGGTGCCCTCTGCCTTGGGTACTAGGGTCTCCAGCATGTCTTCCCTCAGGCCTGCAGATGAAAGAGAAGGGAGTGAAGCTTGCAAGTAGGGCCTGTCCAGCCAGAGTCCTGTCAAAAAGGACCTTTTTTTTGGGAGAGGTTTTCGCTATAGGGCATGTGCGCTCGCCAGACAGACAGAGAGAGACAGAGAGATAGAAAGCGAGAAATCACCCCCCAGGAGGGATGGCCACGCCACAATCCCTTCTCCTCCATTCTCCTCTCGGGATCTTGGGCATGCACGCATGCGCGCCTGGCGTGAATTCTAAGCCACCAGGTCCAGGACACGAACCGCAGTCGACTACATGGGAGTCCAGCGACAAAGCCATTACGCTAACTGCTGGTCCCAAAAAAGGACCTTTACTGTATTCCCTGGAGCTACTCTAGACCCTGTTGCAAAGTCCCACCACACCCATTTCATAGGGAGGAAAGTAGAAGAGCAGTTTACAGCAGTTAACTGTAATACAGGGAGTGTTTATATTCAGTGACAGTGGGTTAAGAGGTATCATTTGTTGTGGGCCTGTTGCTGTAAGCCCTGCCTTCAAAGGGAGCTCAATATGCCCCTCTATGAGGTGCCAGTCACAAGAGGGAGAAATAGTCATTTCTCTTAATTTGACAGATGGGGAGAGTGAGTTTCAGATTATCACCAACATGCAAGTGTATATAATTTTTTTTAGGAGAGATTTTTGCTATAGGGTGCATGCACTCGCCGGAAAGACAGAGATAGAGAGACAGAAAGCAAGAAATCACCCCCCAGGGGGAAGTTTTTTTTTATCCCTTCTCTTCCATTCTCAGGATTTTGGACACACACACACACACACACACACACGTGCCTGGCGTGATTTTAAAGTCACCAAGTCTGGGACTTGAACCACTATTGGCTATGTGGGAATCGAGAGACTTAACCATTATGCCATCTGTTGGTCCCACAAGTGTATAATTTTCTGGAAGAGGATGCTGGTCCTTGTGAACAACCTCAACCCTGCCCAACCTCCCAGCCTTTCCTGGAACAGGCTCTTGGTCTAAGATGTCGTTTTTTAAAGGTGTTTGTCACGGGCATGTGTGCTCACCAAACACATATACACACACACACACACACACACACACACTCACACGTACTGTACACGGGGGGAGGGGGGGATGAGAAATCAACTCCTGGGGGAATGGCCATGCTGCAATCCCTTCTCCATTCTTCTGGGATTCTGGGTATACATGCACACAGTCCCAGTGTGACTTTTAAGCTGCTAAATCCAGGGCTCAAACAATGGTCAGCCATATGGGAATATAGCACCTTAACCACCATGCCACCTGCTGGCCCAAGATGCCCTTCTTGATTGACCCCAGGGTGACAACACCCCAGCTGCCATAACTCAGGCTCACCTTCCAGGATTTGGCCTTCATCTGTCCGGCATACACAGGTGTCTGGGCTCAGGACATCTTCAATGGTCATCTGGGAAGGAGAGTCAGGTCAAGGGGGCGGGACATGTGAGAGAATTAAGGGTACCCAGTCCCTGGAAAGTAAGGGGATACAGATGGCAGGATTCCCACCTTGCTGTTGTAATACCGGCCACCTTTGTGCAGCTTGTCCACAAATCGCACGCGCAGGTCCCTGTGCAGCCAGTGCTGACTCCTGGGGGCTGCTTTCTCAGTTTTGGCTGCAGGCCCATCCTGTCTGTGGAGAGGGGCCAGCTCCATGCTTAGCTCTTCATCACTTGCACTTTCTAGTCACCTCCCTTTGCCTACACTGTGAAACCCACCCCGATGCCATTCCTGGTTCCTTCTCCACACCCGCTTTTCCCTGGAAGCCTTCCTCGACTGCTTGAGCCTCCCCACACCCCTGCCCCTTTCCCCATCCCAGATGCCCAGGCTCCCACCGATCTGGAAAGTGTTTCCGCTTCTTCTCAGAGTCCTCCCACCGGACATGGAGGTCTTGATTACGGACACCCTTCCATGACAGGGCTGCTCCATTCTGTTGTCTTAGGGAAGCTTTGCTCATCTGGTCTGTTCAAGGGGATGTAGGGAGAACCCGGAAAAGAGCCTCAATGTCTTACTGGCCCTTCCTCCCAAGGCTGTAACCCAACCCAGGGTCATCTCCCACCTGCCAAAGCACCCCTTCTCACCATCGCATCTTTGATTTTTGTCTGGGCTAATACAATGCCTCCCACTTCCTCTGCATTTCAGCTTCCTCCAGAAAGCCTCCTATGACTGGCTGGCCCACTCTGACAGTGCTCACCTGAGCAGCTGCTCAGTATGGGAGAGAATCCTGGAGAGTTGCCTGCAGCCATCTACCCAGCTACCCCAGCCTGCCCATGTGCCTTCACACAGGCTACTACCTGCCTAGCATGTTCTCCTCCAGCGAACCCTAGTGGCTCCCATTCCTAGCAAGTCAGATTCATTTCCTCAATGGACAAAGCCCTCCTAAGGGTACGAGGTGCTTTCTATACCTACTTTTTCCCCCTCAGAGAGAGACTAAAGATCCAGAGGTACTAATCAACCTTCCTTCAGTCAAATGGAATAAATTCCTTATGTCTGTTCTCACCTCCTGACTTCAAGTTTATTCTATTTCTTTTTTTTTTTTTTTAAGTTTTTGCTATAGGGCATATGTACTTGCTGAAGAGAGAGGGAAAGTGATAAATCACTCCCTGGTGGAATGGCCATGCCACAATCCCTTCTCCATTTTCTCAGGATCTGAGGAACACATGCACATGTGCTCAGTGTTATTTTTAAGCTGCTGAGTCCAAGACTCAAACTGTGAATTCAGCTATGTGGGATCCAGCCATCCTAATCTTCAAGCCACCTGTTGGTCCTATTATTCTGTTTCTTTTATGAGAGAGAGTGCATGTGGGTGTGCGTGTGCACGTGTGGGCATGCACACAGTAGAGGGGTACCCTCTTGTCATGCCATGATTCCCTTTCCCCAGCTCTCTAGCTAGTTAAGATCTCAGACATATGTCTGGCATGTTTCAGGTATACTGGGGAATTCAAACCTGCGGTTGGCCATGTGGCTTCCAACAGCAAGTCAGTACACTATTGCCTGAATCCTCCAGCTTGGGCCAGCTCAACCCCTGACTTCTGACAGGAAGTTGCAACTGCCAAGCAGACTGCTGTCTCACACCCTACAGATCTAAAACCCACCAGAGATAGGCCCTGCCATTCCCAGAAATGTTTCTGCAATTCCCCCAGTTAGGTAGGAGGCTTACTTACTGAGATCCGAGGAGTTCTTGTCAAACTCCTGCTGGGAAACAGGCCGCAGGTAGTACTCACTAACGGTCACCATGCGGCTCCCCACAGCCAGACGAACCATGGCCCTCACGTTATCAGGATCGAGGCCTTCCACCTAAAGTGTTGTGGGGAAGAAGTCAGGAAGGGTGGACTCCACCCACATTCCTAGGATTAGGCTGGCCACCTCTTACCTCTAATAGGCCTGACCTCTTCATATTTCCCATAAGACTGTCACCTATGAGGGTTCAGACCAGTCCTGGTTCCTGTATTTCCCTTAACAGACTGTGGGGCTCAGACATCTTTGAAACAATCCTCTGGGACT